ACCCACCAAAAAAAAAAAAAAAGTTATTTTATATCATTGCATTAGGCAGACATTTGTTGAGCTTAAAATTTATAAACAGTTTCATGTGTTTGAACCTCATCTACAATGGTTTTGTGGCTTAATACTGAAGCTTAATATGAATATTGCTGTAACTTCAAATGACTCTGTCTTTGGTGTAGGGTACAGACAGTGGATTGTGGAGAGGAAGTTTCAGCCTGGCTTTCTGAGTTTCTGGGGAAACCTTGTCATCTTATAAGACAAAGGCCTGAATTCCTGCGTGATATGAAATTTGGGCGAGCAAAAGGTAAAATACAGCATTTGTATTTGGATTGATTGTTCATGTTAAATAAACATATTTTTTCTCATGCTAGAAATGTCTGAGACGTCAGAGCTGATAGCCTCGTGACATATAGCAGAGTTCGAGTCTCAGCTCGCGGACCTTTCCCGATCCCCCCCCTCCCACTTCACTTCCTGTTAACATACTGTCCTATCACAATAAAGGCAAAAACGCCAAAAATAAACCTTAATAAATCAATATTTAAGATATAAATAATAATAAAGACATTTAATAACATTCTTTTGAGACCAAATGATCAGGGGTGCATTTCCTGAAACTTTCATAATGATACGTCGTTCTTAAATTATACCTTAAGCTGAACCTTAACGTTAACCCGTGTTTCCTGAAACTTTTTTAGTTAAGTCTGGACCACTCTTAGCTATACATTATCACTGTTGACACTTCACTCCACTAGTGGCCACCACTGTGCAAAAGTGGTGTTTGGTCAAACTATGGCAGTGATAGCGAATAGTTGTGCTAAATCAAAGACGCCGCTGTCCCCGGAGTCATTTAGTGTATGTGCTCTATTTCATCCGTGAAAACTTTAGTCCCCTGGCTACCATGTCAGAAGCTGCAATTCTAAGATGCGGATGGATAAGGTCTGTGGATGGATATGGGCTGAGTAAGACCTCTATGTGGTGGTGCATTCACTCAGTCATGAACATCCTGCTCCGTCATGCCACAGATTATATCCATATGCCTTCCACCAGGCACAAGGTGATGGAGGCGCATCAAGGCTTCCATGTCATTGCTGGTACCCTGCGGCAATCAACCCTGGTTGTGGAGTGAATGAAGACACTATGGCAAATATATTATGATAATATAAATGACCCTTTCAAATGCCAGTGAACTGAAGGCATACTGCCAGTTAGTGTCAAAAGGGTCTGGCTGCAGCCTTGCACTTGCACTCTCAGACTTGCATTCTCAGACTTGCACTCTCAGACACTTGC